GATCAATTGATTGAAGATTATTGATTGATACAAAAGAAAATCGAATCTTCAGCAACCAAACAGTATTGGCGAAAAAAAATTATCAACATTAGATGTTTGGATTTTTATTTTCGCTCCTGAAGACTTCCATTTTTTTTCAAATCCCAATTAACCAAAGTTATTTTTTGGATATTGACATTTTTCTTTTCTTTTTTTTTGTTTAAGCCATTTTTTTTGCTTATAATAATCGTTTGATTTAAAAAAAAACAACAATTTTCTTCCATTTCGTGCTTTGTCCTCCTCCATTTTTTTCTCGCTCGTTACATAATCAAATATTCGGATTTCTGACAATTAAATAGTTTTTTTTCTTTTGTTCCAATTCTGTAAATATCTTCGAAACAAAGATTGGTCATCATCATCATCAACTTTACGAGAAGAAACAAAAAACCAACAACAAATGACCAAATCTTGCCTATATTTATTGATTCTTAAAACCAAAAAAAATTGTCAAAAAAATACCTGATGATGATTTGAAATTTTTCCTTTTTTTTGCCTTTTTTTCTCTATTTGATTGTATTACCGTTTTAATGTTTGTGTAAAACAAAAAAAAACAAAAAATTTCTGTGAAATTTAATTTATCATTAATAAAAATATCTTATTGAACTGAGTGTTTTTTTTTGTTGATACAATTTGATCAAAGATAGCAACAACAATAGAAATGACACTTTTAAAAAGCAAGTAATTTTTAATCAAGGACAAAAAAAAATCTGTAGAAATTTTTGGAAATCAATGCAATCAATTATAAGAATAAGGTTAATTATAAATGTGGGAACATTTATTCCCTCAATTGTACCCATTCAATTACATCATTAGATTAGTATGTATAGCTGATGATGTATTCTAATCAAAGTTTATAGTTGCTATGTAATAATTTTGTTTTTTATAATTACACACACCTGATCTAAATTTTGTCCTCTATATATGTACCATTTCGATTCAATCGATCATTTATTTGTGGTAAGACATTAATATTATAATTTTTTTTCTTACTACAATATTAAATTAATTAACGATTCAAAGAATGGATAAAAAAAATATCGAAATAGATATA